ACCTGAAGCGTCTGTAACCCGAGGTACCACTGTAGTGTGGATGCTTCTTTCTGCAATCTTCCCCCTTGAACAAGTCACAAGCTCCATACTTCATTGAGTTCATTTTCCATAATGCCAGAGCCATAGTTATTTCCCCATAGTACCAGAAAGGAACCATTTTGCCCTTGCATTCATCAATTTGCCAGCACGTTGACACGTCTAGCACTGTTCCCTTCCGTGACATCTAATCACATTATCATCTCATGTTCTGTAGGCTTCTGCATGATGCAGCTGTGCGCCTGAGTGACAATATGGATTTCCGTCCACATAGTCAATGCTCAGCCATGTTCTGTTGAATATTTAAGAGCCTTGAGCATGGATAGCCTGAATGGTATTTCTGCAGTGCAGTCTCATTTGCCATTTATATTCTCATCTTGAGGCCCAGAGATCTATGCAAGCTGTGGATTTATTGACTAAGATTTTGCCCTTCTTCTTTTAGCACAATTCTACTCCTATTTAGGTGATCAGGGTGTTATACATATGCTCCTGGTCCTTCCTAGTGTTGGTTCCATTGGGATCTATATAATTCAACAGCTTTTCTTTCCATGAACCAGAATATCATCTTTCCTTTTTTTTGCCTCCCATTACTACCTAAACCAGGGGTCTGCAACCCGCGGCTCCGGAGCCGCATGTGGCTCTTTTACACCTTTGCCGCGGCTCCGGGGCGGATACTAGCGAGGGGAGGAGGCGCATTGTGCACCCCGACACTCCCCACTGTGGCAGGTGCTGTACTGGCTGTGATGTCACATGGGGGCAGTGCGTGCGTTAGTCACGCACCGTCCCGACGTCACCTTCCCGCCCGCTGTCAGATGGCAGCTCCGGAGATACATCTGTTTTAAATGTCGCAATGGTTTTGCGGCTCCCAGGTTTTTTTTCTTCGGAAACGGGTCCAAGTGGCTCTTTTTGTCTTAAAGGTTGCAGACCCCTGACCTAAACACATCCTGTAATAAAATCACAGCAGCATCCCTAAACGGTATTTTCTTCCATCACATAAGACGGTTGTGTTTCCCACAGACAACTGTCATTGCAGACAACTGTCATTGCATCTGAAGGGCAAAACACGATCCCCTGGTAGTTATTAGAAAACAGGAAAACGCTACATTAAAACAGCCCCCTTTCCAGGGAGCCTGCATTACTGCTTGAAAAAACACTGATTGCTGCTTGACAGAATCTGTGGATAAAACATCAAATCCCTCGAGTATCTGTTATTTATAGACATTGTCTTTAAAAGTGTGTGTGTGCTTATTTCCATGTATCTGTATATCAATAGATAGCATCTGAAAAACTCCATAGGCTTCATGGTTTTCAGCAGAATGTTACATTATTTTCCACAAAACATTTAAGATCTTTATTATTATTTTTTTGAAGTTAACTGCTAGTTTGGCATTTTCCAACCATATTTTAACACCCTTTACCTTTACCTATATCTGATGATCACTCCTGCATCCCAGTCAAAGAATCCATTGTTATGAAGTTCTAGCTACATTCAGAAGAACAGAACTCTAACAGCTGCTTCACTTTGTACCAGAAACTGTACAATCCTGTGCATGTCTACACAGAAGCAAGTGTACACTGGGGAGTGTATAAAGGATTTTAGAGGACTGGCATAAAGCTACAATCCTATCCACACCTCCTTGGAATAAGTTCAAGCAAATCCAGTGATACTTACCTTTGAGTAAGCATGCATAGGATTCTGTTGGTTTCCCCCACAGAGTTTGATTTGTCTATCAAACACAGCTGCTATCGAAACTCCACTGCAAAAGCCCCATTAAAACCAGTTGAAGTAACGGCTGCAGAGGTAAGACCTGGCAGAATGCACTATGTCAAATAAAACTTGCCAAATGGGAAAATTTACTTACAACAAAAGAAGAGAAGCAATGAAAGACTGCATTCTGTAGCCCGCAACAATGACAGATACTCAACAGTATAAGGTAAGAGAAATATTTATTTAAATTTTGCACAAGAACGAGCTTATACTGAACAAATTTAATCAAGAACTAAGTGCAGTCGAACGAGGAAATATAGATGACTTCTCCCATCAGACAATATTAAGTAGTCATGCCTGTGCATTATTATTATTATTTTTACAATAACTTGAATCAGTTTCTCAGAGCTGTACATATGTTGTTGCAACATTCAGTGTTTCCAAAAGATATCTTCCTTTTAAAAAAGATTTCTGGCAAATTCTGTAGTGAGCAATAAAAAATAATGATGATGTAGATTCAAATATCATTAGGCTACAAAATAAATAAATCTGTGGCCATGGATGAGGTGTATTTTCAAAACTCCAGAAAGCTTTTTACATTCTTGAGGATTCTGACACCTTTATACGCACAACATGTCAATTTTCCTTTAGTCCAGTATCTTACATAATGATGTCAAACACAGACTGGACCAGAGTTGAACCTCACACCCAAACACAGGTTTATACATCTGAAGTCATTACTAGTCTTACACGTTTCACCCAGAATGAGGAAAGTGACAGCTCATTCAATTCATAGCATTTCTGCACTTTCATGGGGGGGCGGGGGGACTGGTCTTGCTCCAGTTTTGGCTTTATACAATTTTTGGTCTGTAAGTCTTTTGTGAAGGAAAAAATTCTATAGCCAGAAACTGCCTGCCTGTGATACATGGTCATTAGCTTCACAGTTCCTGAAGGCAATGTGGATCCACCGAACAACAAACATGCCCATTCTAGAGAAGACAAAGAAAAACAAGAGAAAGTGATTTACATTCATGCAACAACTTTGTTTAAACAGAATATAAGCATTTACACATGACTGCTTGGACACGTGCTGAAATACCAGCATTTGCTACCTAGTAATTCTGCATTACATTCTTTCTGATGTTCCGATGAAAATTAACTTAGTGGCTTTTTTACTTCTGAATGTCAACATAAAGAGAGCAATTTGAGTTCCCATCAGGCAGTCACCCAACGTATTTGCATGGCAGAGGCAGATTCCACTGCTGAGCCATGCTGTCAGCAACCACACATTTGCACAGTGCAGAGTGAGGCAAATGCTGCTTTCATGAATGGTCAGCAGTTCCAAGGAGGAAAATGCCACACAAGCCAGCACTCTTCACTAATGTCAAGAAAGGACTGCATGAAAAAATGACACTCAACTTTTTTTCTAGCTTACAGTTGCCTTCCTTCCTTTTCACCTGTTTTACTAGCCAGAAGCAGTGTTCTTTTAGGAGATACCCAAGGGTTGAACTTTCGTTGTTGTTAAAAAGTGTGGCACTTACTGTAACAACTTCATGGTTGTTTTTCTATTTTTCTAGAGGAGGAAAACAGCACTGGCCAGAAGTAACTTATCCAGAAGCACTTTACAAGCCTAACTTAAAGCAGTGTTTCCATTAAATTGAATTGTTAGGTGAATGAAACTGGAGAAATAACTTTCGCAAGTTTCCACAATTCATTTTAGCTTTAAAGTACTGATGCACACGAGATGGATAACCATGTCCAGAAGCTAATTAAATTGAGGTATTAAGATTGTAAATTAGCTTAAATCCATTTGCTTTGGTTTAAATTGGACTGTATGTTCTAGGAAGCAGCACTAAATAAGCTTTCCCCCATGTAGTTTGGTTTAAATGGCTTGTGGATGGGGCCTGATTTCTCTGGATTATAAAGCCTAGGCCCACAATGCCTCCACCTTGCTGCACCTAAGCAGATATGGGTCAAGGCAGCATCTGGCTGGCCCATCTATTGTATGCAACCTTGAGTTTCATGATGGAAGAAAGGCAGAACATTAAGGCACTAAATAGATAAATTTGCAAACATGGATTTGTGGAGCCTTTGGACCCCAAAACTCAAACTTAACTTACGTTTCTTCATCCGACACACATTTCCCGTGAACAGAGGGAAAGATGTGATTGAATAAACTTAAACTATTCAAGAAAGGGAGGATAAAATTGTTTCTCCTTCCCTTTCCCAGTCTGGGTCTCTTACAGTACAGAAGATTTAAAGTAGGTGATCGTTCAGAAAAACAATACCAAAACAAAAGCAAACACATTTTGATAAAGTCACACACTTGAAAGGACTAAATGCAATTACATGTCAATTCTGACTACAGTGGTACCTCAGGTTAAGTACTTAATTCGTTCCGGAGGTCCGTACTTAACCTGAAACTGTTCTTAACCTGAAGCACCACTTTAGCTAATGGGGCCTCCCGCTGCTGCTGCGCTGCTGGAGCATGATTTCTGTTCTCATCCTGAAGCAAAGTTCTTAACCTGAAGCACTATTTCTGGGTTAGCGGAGTCTGTAACCTGAAGCGTATGTAACCCGAGGTACCACTGTATTTTTACTTGTTTTCAAGTTTGGTGGGAACTACATGTTTATCTTCATATTGGGATACAAGTGAAGAGAGAAACAAATTGTCTCTCTGTAATATTTTGACACATTTAGCTGTGTACAGTGGCAGACCTACATTTTTGGGGCCCTGAAGCTTGAACGGTTATGGGGGCCTTTTCGCAACCAGCAACAAGGTCTGGCTAACCACTGTCACTCAATGGGGTTGTTCCATGACAGTTCACCATACCTTTACATCATCTGTGCTACTGACTCTCAGACTTTAGGATTGTTGAAATACATACAACAAAGAAGTAATCCATTTGAGTCTTGTGACTCAGATTGGGTCTACTAGACCCAAAAGTTTTAAGCAGTGTGGACTTAAGTCACTTCTGGAGCGCCTCCAGGATTAAGGGCCCTCAAGGTTAAGCTTCACCATTTTTGCAGCAGATCTACCCCTCCCTGTATAGTGACATTTTCAAGTTATGCATTTCTCTGCTTTCTTATCATTGGCTGCTGGTGGTGACTGTGTGGAAAGACAGACTCCATAATGCCAGAACACTGAGGTGCGCTTAGCCATTACAGGAGGAAAGATGTTGACATGAGGTGGCCAGTTCTGGTGGCAGTCCCATGTTAAGAACATCACATAGTTGCTGCCTTTATAAACAAGTTTAGCCTACAGCACCTGGTATTCCAGGTGGTCTCCCATACAAGTACTAACCAGGCCTGACCCTGCTTAGCTTCCGAAATCAGACAAGATCGGGTGCGTTCAGGGTACAAGTTTGCTTAGAATTGCATTTGGGCAATTTGTTGTTTTATTTTCTTGACTTGCTGTATGACGGGGTCCTAGAAAACCATGACAGCAATCCTGCTGCTCACTTTTTCCACTTGCAGTTTTAAAATGGTTTTGTGCTTAAAGCTGCTTCAGCCGAGGCTCGGCTTTTCTGGATTCTTAAATGATTTTATGTAAACCTATTTTGTTGTAGCTTGGCTACAGAGGCTTATCCTGCAGCTCTGACCTTCTGTGAGATGCACTCTATTAATGTACAGAGCATTAATGTTTCATTTTTTACTGTATACACAGTATACTGTACTATTAGTCTAATTTGAATGACCTTTTTGGATTGTTTTAAAATTCAGGTGCCAAAATGCTTATACCATATGTTAGGCAAGAAATAAAGCACAGATTCTGTTTCAGGGATAAAGTGGTATATTATGATTTCCAGTGCATCAACATAAAAAAAAACCCCAGCTGCTCTTTCATTTCACATATTCTTCCCCAGCCATTCCCCTGTGTATGTGGTTACAAGGAAAAATAAAATCTGGATGTATGCTGATAAATCCATTAGGTAAACAAAAAAACAATTAGTCCACCCCTAAATTTATTTGGGAACAGATATGGGATGGGTGGTCCCTGGGTCACAACATGGGGGCCACAGATGAGCACCCCCCCAATGGTGGGTCAGGGAGTTGTGCACAGTCCTAAAATTACAGCTGAGTTTTCTTTTCATCCACTAAGCTGCAGTCCTATAGACAGTTACCTGGAAATCAGCTCCATTGAAGCCAGTAGGAGTTACTTCAAAATAAGCATGTAAAGGATTACACTGTTAGGTTGTGATCCTGCAACCCATTACTTGGAGCCAACCCCACTGAATGCACGTGAGCTACTTTCAAGTAAAGCTGTGCCGGCATGGATCATATGGATGACATAATAAGACTGTGGATGTTGGGAAGAGGAGGTGGTAAATGTTCAATTTATCTAATTCTGCTCAGTTTATTGGTATGAGTTAAGAACATAGGAAGACCCTGCTGGATGAGGCAATGACCCATCTATTCTAGCATGCTGCTTTCATAGTGGACAATCAGATGCAGGACTTGACTGCAACCTTTTCCTCATTTGTGATTCCCAGCAAATGGTATTCCAAGGCATCCTCCCTCCAACCCTGAAGGCACAACATAGCCATGAGGGCTAGTAGTCTTATCATTCATAATCTTCTTTTTTAAGCTATCCAAGGTGGTAAACACCACAACCTCCTGTGGGAGCATCTTCCATAGTTTAACTACATGCTGTGCAATTTTGTCTACTCTACATCTTCACATATTCAGCTTCATTGGAAGTCCCGGAGTTTTAGTGTTATGAGAGATGGAGAAAAAACTTTTCTCTATCCACTTTGTCTGCACCATGAAGAACCTTATACACTTTTTCTCTAAACCGAAGAGCCCTAAAGGTGGGGTGGGGTGTAGCAGGTAGAGTACTTGTTTGGGTTCAGTGAGAAAAATAGGAAATGCACTTTACATCACTTGTATAAATGAGAACAGTTTATTCCAGTCCCTTTTTCTTAACTATTTTTAGAGGCTGCAAGAGTCATGTCAGCATATCACTGTGCACCCTTCTTCTTCAGATAAGTGTTTCTTGTTGACCCTGAGGAATACTAAAGACCCAAATTATCATGTGGATTCTGTTCCCTTCACTTTATAAAAACAAGGAAGCAATGGCTGTATTTCCATTATTGCCATGACAGAACATGAAAAAGTGTTTGATCACCGCAAAGCTTCAAGATTGTCTTGGGTAATTTTCTTTTCTTGACAGAAAATACTTTTTTGGGGGGAGGGGAGGTGTAGAAGGTTATAGCCTATATGAGAAATCGTTTGATAGTTTAAATGTCTTCAAAATGCCCCCCAAAAAACTGATAACAGCAAGATCAGCAATCACAGCTGAGCCAATATATTTCCATAAAAAGTATACCATATGTAGATGTATAGAGGGCTAGATATCTTCAAGGTCAGACAGTGCGTGGACTTTGAGAATTTTGCCTTGCTGGTACATCTAAACCATTATCCAGATTATTGAATGCTCCCGTCCCCCTGGCAGAAAAGAATGATGTCAACAACACTGAATGATTTATGTTGCAAGTGTGGAAAGAGACATCCCAGTGACTAGATGAGATGCATCAATATTTATAAACCGTAAGGCTGACTGGAAAAGACCCTTCTACAGCTCGATTTAGCTCTTCAGTACCTTGCACTGGCAGAGGGTGCATTCTGTGCCGTGCTTGATCCAAGAGGACCCGGTGAAGCGAACCACATTAGTTTCATCCAGACAAGTCTTGGTGATATCGTTCCTAATGGTATCTGCTTGACAGGGGTCAGTGACGCAGTGAGGGCAACATTCATTCTCAGGCAGGGTGCTGAATTCACACTCCATATCTGGACAAGGCAAGGGCCAACAGTCCACTTCACCCTGCTGTTTTTTTACAAAAAATGGACAAAGGAGCATTAATTCTACGTTGTTATATCATCATCATTCATATTATGTTAAGACACTATTATACCACCATAAGAAGGGACAGGGAAGCTTGTTCAGGCTGAGGGTCATATTGAGTGCTGCTGGGGGTGCGTTTTCCCACTAACCTGCCGGAAGCCCCATTGAACACAGTGGGACTTCTAACAAAAAAATGGCAGAGGTGTGTGATGTGGATTTCTTTGCAGTTACTAAAGGCAAGCAATGGAAACTGAATGATTAAGGATCTAGCTCTGAGAAAACTGGGCATGCTAAAGTCACATTGATTTAAACAGAGTTAAGTAGTGAATTGTTCATGTAGTTCCATGGATCTCAAAAGGTGTCAAGCATGTTTTGAATTGCACCCTGTGCTGGGGGGAAACTTCTTTCCGTGATAAGGACTCACTTTCAATAAATATTTGCAATGTACTCCTTGGGTTTCAATTATTTCAAGCTGCTCTTTCAACCATGATTGGTAATGAGGCATTATTTCTATTCCCTAGATCCATTTTTTTTACAGTCAAATATGAACAATAGATTTTCATGCTGTGATTAGATGTATCTTCAAATTACAAAAAAAGGAGATCCCAACTAAACATCATGGGGGGAAACTTTCTGACAGTAAGAGCTGTTTGACAGTGCAATGGTCTCCCTTGAAAGGTTATGGTCTCTTCTTCCTGGGAGTTTTTTAAACAGAGGTTGGATGGTCATCTGTCATGGGTGCTTTGGTTGAGATTCCTGCATTGCAGGGGGTTGGACTAGATGACCCTTGGTGTCCCTTCCAACTCTAGAATTCTATGATTCTATCTACAGTCTGAAATTTCCAGTCTTTGATCAATTGAGCAATAGAAAAAAATAATTTCATTTTTTAAAAACTGATTGAAACAAATATGCATAGTAAAAGAACAATTAAGGCAGATGTAACTCATAATGATTGCAAATGGTTTTGATTTAATTGTCTATTGTAGGAGGAGGACTTACCAAACAGCGGCATTGTTGACAATTTTGAACCCAGGTGTCTCCACTGTTGTATAAGATCTCACCGCTTTGATGTAGACACTGACTGCTGAGCCTTGGGTCACATTCGGGGCAGCAGAATAAGTCAACTGTGGGGTTCTCACAATCACATACCATTCGCCGACACATTACGTATCCACTCTACCGTTGCAAAACATAGCAGCATGCAGTAAAAATTAGAATCAGCTTGCATAACTATGGTGAGGGAAGTGAATAACTAATAGTTTGCAAAGCTACAGAACTAGTTTAAGAATGGGAGATTTGATTTAAAACAGGATTAGACTAATTCACTGTAGGTAAGGCTAAGTTCTACTCCACTGCCTCAGAGCAACAGTCACAAGAGAGGAGTGTGTTATTGCATGCAACTAGATAGGCCTTTTGTGTAAGTCTGCAGGGCTCTTCTTAAATTCTCAAAGCTAATTTAAAATGAAGGAAAGGATTAAAAATTTGTAATATTGACAATATAATGGTTCAATGGGCTATGTTCTTTGAATATAGTGGGTTGGATCCAGCTGTGACTTTGCTCTAGCAGAATGAGCTACTGTTGGTGCAAATTGTGGCATGTGAGTTTTGCCGACAGCTCCTCCCACCTTGCCATCTGTTGGAAACAGGAAATTTGGGCTAAATTGATTATTTTTCTGCCTCAGTAAATCGGCAGTGGTGACTTAAGCATACCACCTTCATCCCTTGGGCGGGTGAGGGAACAAACTATTCTAACTTCAGTTTCCTGCTTTGCTTTTTCACCTTTTCCCACCCTCAAAGAACCCCCCGCTAACGCTGATCAGACTTACCTGGCAGGAGCAGACAGAGCACCTATCGTTTTCCAAAACCCAAATCTGCCCATTGTGTTTAATTTTGCCTTCGTGGACACAGTCACCTGTGCAGTTCTTCCCATGGGGACACCGGCAGTCATAGCCACCATCCAAGTTAAAGCAAATGGTGTCATTGGCACAACTGTGCCTTCCTGTCGCACATTCATCAATGTCTGCAAAGAAATAGCCATGGACTGATTTTAAACCAAAGACACTAACAAAAACTGGCCTGGCTATAGTTGATATAAATTGTCCTCGGCTATTAAGCCTCAGTTCCATAGTAATAAGCATTCAAGTCTAAATTATTCTTATTACAATTTACACACCATTAATTACGTGAGTGGAAGTTCAAGTGAAATAACTGTGCGGAGCCTTACTTACTGTATATTAAGCAAGGAAATTCTTGTACGAACTTCCAGATATTAGCTTTAAGTACTGGGGTAGTATTCTGATTCAATCTATTGTACCCTTGGATTCCAACTTGCTGAGGTTCAAATTCATGGGTACCTTGAAGTTGACTGGGCCATGCCAAAGGGATACTTGATTGCTATCCCAATATGTGGGGCTGTTGTGACCCATACAAGAAGAACTGTTGAGAGTTCTTGGAGGCAGCCCCAACCTACATTGCAGAATTGAGGACTCATGTGGCACTGGAAAAAGCAGAACTGCCAAGTACTCAGATA